CCCTCCCGGACACACCGCCCTACTCTTGGGGGTCGGAGCGAAGGCCGGCCCCCGCCGGACACTTCGCCCCCCCGTGCCCCTGCAGGGCGTGGACTTAGGTCCTTGAACCTTTGTCCCCCCCGCAGGGGGCTTCCTCCGGTGAGTGGGACTATGTCCCACTCCCGAATCTCCTCGAGAGGAGGGGGGATTATACCTCCCTTCCCTCTTACTCCTCGTTTCTTGCGGGGAGAGGGGAGCCAAGGTTCCCCTCCCCTCCGCCAACCGCCTTTTTGTGGCGGACTACGTCCGTCACCCATCCTTCTTCTGAGGGAGGGTAACCCCCTCGGACCTCCTGGCCGATGTACGGTGGGGGGGAGAGCAGGGAGGTGGCTAAGTCCTCAGTCGTCCTTCTCCCCCCGCCCCCGTTATCCGGGGTCAACCAACCCCCCCCGACCCCCGCCCGCCGGCGGAAGTGTAAGGGCCGCGCGAGCCCGCGCCCTTGTCGTCGGAGGGGCAGTTCGCGCAACTGCCCCTCGATTGGCCCCGCCCCCGGGGTCGCCGCCGCCAACCACATCCGAAGACGGGTCTGACGACGACGAGTCGGGGGGCGGTGCCCCGGGACCCCTCGCTCTCCCTTTCCTCCTCTGCCTTTTGCTCTCCCACAATATTTATTCTTTTATTTCATCATTATATTAATATATACTAACTAGGAAATTGAATAATTTTGTGGCTCTCAATACTCTTAATTCTTTCAATATCTGTGATATAATAATCTTGTTTTAATTTCCGTTTTAAAATTTCATGATTTACAAAATTTGTTGAATCAGATACTGAGGCTAATGCTGTGTTCATTGGATATTCAAAGAAAGGTACGCTGACTGAAAACGATTGGAAGATTATAGTGAAGACTGTTATCAAGTGGCTGCTTCACATAACTCAGTTGTATGTTTATCCATTTTTTTTATAAATTAAAGCGATTTTATTTAATTTTATTCTTTATTAATGATTTTTGTTACTTCTAAATTTATATTAATATACAATTTATATCAGTTCACAGCATCGGCATTATGAAATTCTTGCAAATAAAATTTGTGATCAATTTCCTACAGAAGAGGTAATTATTTTTACATCAGTATGTTTTTTTTACGTAACTAACATTGTTACATTTTATTTATAATTTCATATCATGATCGTCTTGTGACAAATTTCCAGTCAATTTTGAAGTATATATTTATATCATTTGATAGATGTCAGTTTACTATATACCTCCTAAAACCGAAGGAGAAAATCAGTTACTAAGTAAAGGCAAATTGCCCATAAAGTTAAAAAACGCTAAATCCTGGCTGCGCAAAAAAGGAGCAATTTCACCTTTGAGAAAGAAAAAAAGAACATTGAATACTGATGACCCAACCTCTTCTTCTGTTGATGGTACATTTTATCTCATACTTTATTGAAATTTTAAAAATCATTTTATGTTACTTTCTTTCTATTAGATGTTCTTTCGAATGAAATAAAAGTTGCGCAAGAATGGCTTAAAAGAAATAGAGAACCATTTGAAGATGTTGCTGAAAATTGGAGAATATGTAAAGAAGTTCGTCTTAAAACTCTCTTAGCTAATCAGAACATTACTACCCAACAATACATCGATCAGTGGTTAAATATATTACAACAACCACAAGGTTACAAATTGGTACATTTCTGTGAATCCCTTGTATAATAACTGTAGTTTGAAGGAAATATATAACAACTTTTCTTCTGTCATCAGATCTTAGATGATTTTAATATTTTACATTCTCTAAATGCCAAGTATGCTTGTTTGGAAGGCAAGCAGAACTATATTTTAGTGAAATGACCCTCTATCAGTAAGAAATTAGAACAATTGGTAATATTACAGGATGATATTGTGGATCATTATGATGTGAAAGATCTTGTGCCCCTTTTGCAGAGAAATATATCTGATGGTGAGTAACGATAGGAAATGTAGATAACTCTTTTAGTTGTTTAGAGAAAGTTTCATATCATATAGAAACTATTGTTTTCAAAAAAATGTCTATTATTTCATTTTTTCACTTTCTTTTAAGATGTTAGAGATTACATTTTGTTACACGTCTTAGCTGTTATATGTAAGCCAACAAGCAGAGTAAAAGTTGGGAAGAAAATATTAAAACCATCAGTGGAAGAGGCAAGAGATGCATTTATTTTAAAAGTAGCTGTAAGTAACGTATTTCATATTTTTCATTAATCATTCTACTATTTTTTTATTTTTATTGTACAATGTTTTTTTGGTTTTTTGTTGTTATTAGATTGGTGGTGATGTATTGAATGCTATAAAAAGACGGAATAAGTTTTATGCTTCTATGAATGCTACTGTCCAGCCTTACATAATTGTTGTCGGGGATGTTAAAGATTCAATTACTGCTGCATACGTCTGCATCAATAGCTGCCTATGGAAAATGGGAAGTGTTCTACAAGCTGTTGATGTTTGTTTTAAGTCATTTTTTGCGCTTGATGCAGACTATCAAGCTGAAGCATATCATTTATGGTTATTTGTTTAGAGAGCTCTGTATGATGTTTATTTGCCAGGTGAACGCTCAATTACAAATGTAACTACACTCATTAGTCGGTTGAATGGAATGATACTGTAATTATTCTTTTTTTTTTATTATATTTCTATGAGAAATTACAATATTTGGATGTTACTTCTTTATTAGCTACTTCATTTTATATTTCTTTTTGCATCCAAAGTTTTTAATACTAACCTTTATTTTTGCACATTATTGCACTAAAAATTGTTGTTAAAAATATTTTTCATTTTAATGTGATATTTATTTAAAAAGAAAGATGTTTAAGTGCTTCATCTGCGACAAAATATATAATGCAGCACATAGCATTCTTAGCCACTTACGGTTCTTTCATTCAACTGAAATTGCTAAAAAAAAGTTAGTATGTTGTTGGTGTCATTATGTAAGGGTTTTTAATAATTTCTCTTCTTATAGTAAACATGTAAAAAGGCATAAATCTGAAAATTCTGCCATATCTTCGCAATTGAAGTGTATTTTTTCTCAATCTTTACAAGATTCAAATTATGATAAAGATCCAACTACACCAAATGCATCCGCCTATACTAAAAATGAAAGTGTCTCTGGTTTTGATGTTGAACTTTCTGAAATCGACAACAGTAATGATTTTGATCAGGCTTTAACAGATGCTGTTATTCATTATGTTGCTTCATTGCATGATAGCTTTTTATTATCTGACAACATTCAAAAAATTATTGATTGTCATAAAACTCTTTTAGGTGCAGGATTTTTAATGATCTTAAAGAAACATATTTTAAACTTATTGAATAAAGCTAAAAGACAAGAAAATATTTCTGATTATGAAGTTGATTATGAAGTGACAAGAATGGTGGATTCGTGCCAAAATATGTTTAGTGGATTTGAAAGTCATTATTTACGTATGAAAGAGTTTGAATCTTGTAAAGCATTTATTAAGCCTGAAACATATATAATAGGAATATAATAGTCTGGATGAAAAAAATTCTGGTGGAGAAATCGCGATTGACTCTTGTTCATGGGCAGTTCATTTCTTTGCGCTTAGTACTGAAAGGATTCCTTGAATTACCAAATATCCTAAAGACAATTTTAGATTATATGAAAATACTTGAAAATAATTCTGATTTGCTTTGTAATATTATTCAAGGCAAACTTTGGAAAGAAAAGATTGCTCCTAAATTTCTTGGCAAAATTGTGTTACCTCTAATTTTGTATTTCGATGATTATGAAACGAATAAAGAATTAGGAAGTCATACTGGTGTACATAAGTTAGGAGCTACTTATTGCAAAATTGCTTGTCTTCTACCAGAATTTCAATCATCACTTGAAAATATATTTCTTGTAAACCTATTTCATTTGACTGATAAAATTTTCGGGAATATTAATGTTTTCCGTAAAGTTTTGAACGAATTAAAATATTTAGAAGACACTGATATAACAGTTGTAACAAAAGATGGAATTACTCAAGTTTATTTTGCCATGTGCCTTTTTGCAGGAGATAATTTAGGTGCTAATAGTATTCTGGGTTTTGTAGAAAGTTTTTCAGCTAATTATTATTGTCGCGTATACAAGGAACATAATAAAGTTATGCAAAAACAAACTATTTCAAATCCATCAAAGCGTCGAAATGTTGCAAATTATAACACTGATCTGACAATTAATAATGGTACTGGTACTGATACTGGTATTAAAACGGTCTATTTTCAACGAACTAAAAAGCTTTCATGTTGTTGAAAATATCCACTTAGATATTATGCATGATTTGGATGAAGGAATGTGGAAACAGACGATAACTTGTGTGATTAATCTTTTGTTACAAAAGAAAAGATTTAATATCGATATCTTAAATAATTTAGTTCAAAGTTTTTATTATGGTCCTTCTGAACAACATAATAAACCTCCTCTCATAACTAAAGATCATAATCAGCGGATTAGATTGGCCTTCTCAGTTAGTGAAATGCGTTGTTTTATTCGTTATTTTGGTATGATAGTTGGTCATTTGATTTCTGATGATGACATTGACATTTGGAAATTATATCAAATTGCTCGTCAAATTATTGATATCTTAACTGCACCTTCCATATCTATTACAATACTCCCGTTATTAAAAGATCTTTTGAAACAGCATCACTCACTTTATTTAAAATTGTCTGGTAAGAACTTGACTCCTAAGATGCATTTAAGTATCCATTATCCAAACATTATTCCTGAAGTAAGTCCTCTTGAACCTTTATCATGTATTAGAATGGAAGCTAAACATAAAGAAGGTAAGCAAATTGCTTATTTGTCAGCTAACAGTATCAATTTGCCTTATACTATTGCTAAGAGGCACCAACTTAAATTGTGCTGTCGATTACTAGCTGGGAGAGGTTTATCTTTAAACATATAATTTTCATCAGTACATACTGTCAATGTAACTGAAATAAAAGAATTTTCAAAGTTTTGTCATATATTTCCTAACAATATATACACCGTAAAATGGAATACTGTTAAATGGATTAAAATTAATAATTTACATTATAAAAATGACATTTTGATTGTTACAAAGTGGGAAAGAGGTCAAAATCCTCAATTTGGTTGCATTCATACAATATCTCTATCTACAGATAATACTGTATATTTCTTACTTAAAAAACTCATTATTTTAAATTTTAATACTCATTATCATGCTTATAAAGTAAATTGTATTCATCAGTGGCAATATCTAAAGTTTCAAGATTTGGCAGTTCATGTTGCAACCAACATTACAAGTACTGCTAATGGCCAGCGGTTTGTTCCATTCCGTTTTGCTGTTTATTAATTTCCTTAAAATACGAATTTTGTTATTTTTCTATTTCAATATTGTATTTAAATATTATAGATTATATTTGTATTTAAATATTATAGATTATATTTGTATTTAAATATTTGTATTTCAATATTGTATTTTAATATTATAGATTAAATATTTATAATATATAATATTATATATACATATAATAATTCTGAATTATTAAATGTAATATCTAATATATAAATAAATAAGTGAATTGTATCATTTTATTTCTTTTCTCTTAAATTCATTACAGGAAAGTGATACGAGAAAACGATCATCAATTTGGGTGCAATTTCTTTAACCAACAATACAACTAACAATTAAAACATCTATTCAACAATTAAAACATTTTAAGGCTTGTTTATATAAACATAATATTACAGTGAAGACTTTTACGAGCAAAGTATAGGTATTATTTAGCAAATATTTACATTGTGATCGTGCACAATTATCTTACATGTAAACATCATTGAAACGTTACAAAATAATTGTGCACGATCACAATTAAATATTACTCAAATTATACCTATGCTTTGAACCATAAGAGCCTTTATTCTATTCCGTTCAGAAAATTCTTCAGTTAACCATCTTGATATCTTCAGTCGAGAATAATGTAACATTCTTCATATTCTATTACTTCTTTTTCTAAGAACAAAATAAGATTTGTCTCAGATCAATCTATTCTTGAATAGATTTCGAATTAATGATATTATAAGATTGATTTAATGTCTAACCTAAACCCATCTGAGAATATTCATTGCTTAGCACCAAGATTATTTTATTCTAGATTTAAGAATATTTTCATTCAAGATTAAAATATTCGCCCTTTAAGAATAAATATGATTGTCTCTATATCGATTTTATTTTATTCTTCATTGAAGAGTAATAGCATTGGATCTAGAAATCTTTTCTGTGGGTGCATAGGTGCGGAGCGGCTGCGGAGCGAGAAAGAAGGAATGATATTTTCTCTCTCGCTCGGCGAGAGATCTCTCTCTATCTTAGTTAAATTAACGACATATTTAGTATGAGCAGTGGCAACTTATAGGAATAATTGAAAATTATTCAAATTAATTTGACATTACGGATTTAACAGTGCACGTACACAAGAAGCAGCCATGCATGCGCGCTTATACATGTACAGTATATTGACAGTTCAAGCGCTAAGCGTACATATATCTGGCTTCTCTTTGTGAGCATAGGAGCCGCGTCTTCTGCCCAGCATCGCTGCCGTGATGGTCACTGTGAAAAAAATAATACGTGCACGAGAGAAAGAGATGGAACGTCATACATCTATCTCCTTCTGTTACTCGTCGCCCGACGTTCCGAGCACACACGTACACGGACGCACACACGGAGCTATCCATTTCAGCCTCGAACGGTCCGTCTCTGTGGCCTATGAGATAGGCCCGCGAGCAATCGTCCATTTTTTTCGCCGATCGCTGCGAGCCGTATGTCCTGCCTGTCGTGTCGCGCGTTCTAATTTGTCCAACTATTTTAATTAATACCTCGAAATTTTACGTGGTTGTTTGAAAAATGATCTATACAATTTTTGTTCACTTTTATGTGTTCTACTTATATTTTTCTTTTGTTCCGTCTTACGCGGGACACCCTGTATATATATTTGACGCAATTGCTAGGACGGAAGCGATACAAGAGTTGCACAATCGGCTATATTTATTAATAGAGTTTAGTCGTAGATGTAATGAAAGATGAATAACAAGTTTGCAAAACAGTCAGGTTTTTGCAATGCAAATTGTGAAAAAGTGTTATGGATGCGTAAGCATCATGTAAGCGAAACGTGATATATATATATATATATATATATATATATATATATATATATATATATATATA